CAACAAGAAATATCTGTTTCCAATTTATCAAAATTGTAAAAATTTTAAATTTGTTTCCAGCAAAGAGTAACAATTGGTCTGAGAATCATGCCAACATATGAAGCTCTCACATATCTAAGTAAAGCAATAAGCGTGGAGGGCAGTTTACATTATGGCTTAGCAATATCTATATTATAAGGGTTAACTTTTTTTAAAAAGTAGACGAGACTCTTGCTGTCCTTACATTTTACATGTTAGAATATGTGGAAACACAAGTACATGAGGTACACATTATCCCTTCACTTGAAGCATAAAGCAGAGTTAATTCAAGTCAGGATTATTTTACATACACTATTGTAATAAGCATTTCTTTTATATCAATAGAATAATTTTTTACACTGTGTTTTATAAAAATCAATAGAAAATATAACTCTCAAATAAAACTTTATGAAAATTATTATAGTGTTAGGAGTCTTAAAATATCATATATCTTAGGATAAGTGTATAGTTCAACTTTGTACAGTTTTGAATAACTCTATGAATGAATACATACATGTTTAAAAATGGTTTAAGTGATAAAACTTGTACCTAACAATACAAGCCTAGCTAGAACCATGATTCTAGATCTACAATTTAAAGATACATGTCAACAGCTCAACACAGTTCAAACAGTATATTGAATAACTCACTGGATAAAAGTGTACCATGGCTAATGTATTATAAAATTAAGCCCAATGTCTCTTACACTTAATGATGTTGGACAGTTAAAAACACAGTAAGTTTGTATTTATATTTAAGTGCTGTAAAATGTAAGTTAAAACTTTAGAAGACGTCATTTTTCGATGATTTGCCCCTGCCCTGCAAGCTCCAAAAATTAGTGCAACAACCAGCCTTTGCAATAGCTTGGTTGAAAAATCGAGTCAGTAGCAAGTGATGTCACTCAAGGTAAAGAAGGCCAGTCGCAGTTGGCTCCTTCTCTGTGCATAAACAACTGTCAGCTTGTTTATGTAAAAGCAATTTGTTTTTTGTTTTGTTTTCTGGACAAATTTCAGTTGATAGACATTATGAGTACAGTTATTCGTGAGTAAACAATTACTGTTTGTTGCTGTGTTGTTTCTGGATGTAGGAACATTCCCAACAAAAAGGAGGTATCTCTGCACAAGTTTACATCTCAGTCACACAAGAAATTGCACATGGCCTGGACAAAGTTCATATCAAGAACTTGTGATAAATAGAGTCTGCTGAAATCTGCCATGTATGCAGGGAACACTTTTTGGAATCAGAATACAATTTGATATGGGATTTGAAAATAAAAATTGGCACTAAAGAAAGATGCAGTGCCGATTGTGTACCCAAAGTTCAAGAGAGATCCATCAAGCACAATGAGCAGCAGCCAGGCTTATGCCAGTGGCACATCATGCTCTTGTTCACAGACCAATAACAGCAATGATAGTCATGTCCAATCAGCTGTTCAAAAATGAGAGACACCCAGGGTAAGTTCAGGTTTTTAGCTAATGATTTAAGCAAGTACAATATAAAACTGTGAGCAACCATTCAGGTAATATAAACACACCAGTACATCTGATAAACAAAAAATATTTTATGAAATTTTACTTTCAGCTTTTATTTACCAAAAAAAGGGGGCATGGACAAAGAATGAGCTGTTCTTTTTATTTACTTTTCATGTTTATAGCACTTTCTTATGAAATTTCATTGACAATATAAATATTCAACATAACAAATGCTAGATCTACAATACCAATTATCAAAATATTATCCCAGCTATGTTTGCTTTTCCAGTCCTAATGTATACTTAGTCATATGCATACAAATTGGAGCATGTGCAGAATACAGTATCAGGAGTCCATCAGCTGATATTAGATCTACATCTAGATATAGATCCATCACTTGAAACCCAAATATTGACTAGAATTTTCTCATAGACATACTAAACTATTGCTTATGTGCCCACAGTGCAAGCTGTAAATTTTGTTCCAATTTTCCTGACATTAGCAGTTTAAAACAGTCTTATGACATTGTCATATATATGTATTGAAACAATTCCATACAAAGATCAGACAACTGCCAGTCCTCATCCACTTCGGCCAACATGTCAACATTAGACATCATCTTCAAGATCTGGTTCAAACATATATGATACGATTGACACATTACATCTTTCTCCCTCTTCACCTGCTGTCACCATTTTTGTTTACCTTGTGTGACATAGGTCTGCCTGCCCATTTTGCCATGTGGTGCTTCCGCTAGTGTTTCTTAAAGCTAGTCAACCATGACCAAATATGGCTTGGTACCACATGAGATTAAGTATTTCGTGACTTTTTTTCAATTGTATTATTTTTAGGGTGATACAATATATATACATGTAGAATACTGTATAATCTCAAGGTTTTCTTGTTTTAGATATATTTAACTTAATTACCACAGAAAATGGGTATTTTTCATGCTTGAATGCTTGCGTTCCTGAAGAAAGAAAATCCATCATTTCCCTTTCTTACTTACATAATGTAACACAAAATTCACTTGTAAATCTGTCTAATTGTATATTTCACCAAAATGGTATTTTAAAAAATCAATCCTCAATTAACTCTATTAGACCATCATGCATCTACTTCATGATCTAATATAACCATGAAATTTATCATTAAACAATTCTGTTACTTCTATGCAATAAATATTACAATATACATTCTTGTATAGAGTAAGTGGAATTGTTGAAATGTGAAATTCAAGCAAGTTTTGTAAATCGTGCATCATGGTCTACTTTTTAGACAATACTCACTAATCTATATTTATTACAATCTTAGTTCTTTCATACAGGTCAACAGACAATCATTATGTTCCAATGTCTGAAGTTTATCTCTTTCATACAGGACAACAGACATAATCATCATGTTCCAATGTCTGAAGTTTATCTCTTTCATACAGGTCAACAGACAATCATTATGTTCCAATGTCTGAAGTTTATCTCTTTCATACAGGTCAACAAACGTAATCATCATGTTCCAATGTCTGAAGTTTATCTTAATTAAAATATTGATTCCCCTTTATCAACTAGCCTAAAACAATCAGTGCAACTTAGAGAATGTTATTACATGTCTATCAGTAACTTTTTTTTTTTACCTGTTCCATATTCAGATAATTTGGCCATTGTTTCCAGTTTTGAGTTATTTTATTTCCTGGTCAATACAGCATTTGCAGGTTGTCATTTAGTAAGTGCTATTCAGAAAAACATTTGACTGACTCGCTCAGATTTAGACACAACTCAAAAATAAAAATGGATGCCACATTTTGCATGTCTGCAATTGGGTTTCTGTATATCTTACTATATTGAAGTATGTCCAGGTCAGGCACATTATGTATGTATGGCTCATATCAAACAAGAGTGCATTCATCTTATGAGTGATACTCTTGAAAGTGATGTAACTATACCCTTACAAATGGACTGTAGCACCCATGTTGATTTAGCATACCAAACAAGTTCTCCTGGACAAATGGTTAGTTGTGCTTCGCTTATTGGACTAGCACTGGACTGAAACTACTTAGTAAATTCTGAATTGTTACGCCAGTCTGTGTGCTGTGTTCATCAAGTGGGAAGACAGTTTTAAAACAAAATATGATCAAGTGACTTTAGAAGTTCAAATGTTATGCACACTAAATAAAATCCATATTCCCAACTTTTGATTTCTTTTTTTTAACTTTGGCTTCACATCCAACTGAAATTCCATAGAATGGTACTTTTTATAATACTAATTAACAAGATATTACACTGTAAAAAAAAAAAAAAGACTTATAAATACTATAAAAACAATATACATCTTTATCATTTACATTATTTATTTGTCTGTCACTACAGATCAATATAGAAATAAATGACTAATGAATGACCCCAACTATGAAGTTTTTTCTTAAAACACTATTGAGTCCAATTCACTACACATGAAGATTACCTTCTGTGTCACTAAAAAATAATTGAAACAACCTATCATATGTCAATAGGGTAGGATTGGTAAAGTTGAAACAATTTTTTAAAGTTTGCCTAACAACCAAAAATGCTTAAGTTCATTGACATATAGTAAATATAAAAACAGACAGGGTCTTTCATAATTTATATCTTTTTTTATAATTAAATTGAAACACTTGGGTGTTTAAAGAAATAATAAATGTATTAAACTAGTGGTAAAATAAACCTGCTTGAATCTCAAACTATGGCAATCCCAAGAAATTTTAATATACCAGTTCAAATGCTCTTTTCCTATATTTCATAACCTGTCATAATTTTAGGTTAGTCTTAAAACACAGCAAAATATTTTCTGGACCCAAAACTTTAATATATATATTATACTATATTAAACATGAAATAAATACACAATGCACTGAATTTCAAGTTGAAATAAATATATATATATATATTATTATTATTATTAATTAAACTATGACTTAAAAACAGTAAAACTAAAGGCAAATGTTTTTCTTTAATTAAAAGTTTTAATGAGATTACATAACACATTGTAGACTTATATACTAAAAATACGTTTATGTTTATTGCAAAATTACAATTTTATATTAAATCTATAGACTACAAGATAGTACAATTTCGATTTGCAATTTAATTGATTACAGCTTATAATGTGTTATTTGTTGTATCTTCCTAAACTTGAACCTAAACTTATAATTTTATATCGGATTTTAATTTCATTTTTTATTAAAAGTTTTAAGAAAGAATATGTGGCGTTGATACCACTAATTTTTATTTTTGAATTGCTTTACAGTCAAGCTGTTTAAAATATAAAAATAAATAGAAAGCTCAATTTATTCATTTGACGAGAAGTAGAAATAGAATGACAGACTGGGTTTTTCCTATTTATTTTTTATTATATCTAAGTTATAGTTTACTGATTATCAATACTAGTAATTATTAATAGTAAATTAGTATACTAATACTCAGTAATAACTAATAGTAACACTACTATTAGTATTACTCACTAAAAGTCACTACTTACCTGTGTCGACTAAATGAGGCAAAACGAAACGTTTATGACTCTTTTTTCTTGTACTTTTAACGTTTTGACGAGTCATTCTATTTCTAACTGCAGAATAAGACATAATGGTGAAATTACAAATACAACTCAAATAATCGACACAGAAACTAAAAACATCTGAGAAAACTATTCACGAAAAGTAGACATTTTCTTCCTAATAAAACGGAAATAGCTGAAGAAAAACCAATCACTGAATTTAAAATCTGTCACGTGAATATGAGTGTGTCCTCGAATTGGTTCATAGAACAGCGTAAAGGTGTCGCTGACTTTGGAAATGTGTGCAGTTTCATATGATATAAAATCCTATCAATAAGTAAAAAGATACCCACACCAGAAAGAATATACGAACGTGAAACAAAGAGTACAATTCATCTTTAATGGATCTGCCCTTTGCAATATTTAGGACCGAAACAATGTTTCACATTATATTTTGAGAAAGAGGCTAGAAAAAACGACATTTATATTCCACATAATTATAAAATAACTTTTTATTTTAACCAACATTTCGCCTTTCCAGCTTCATCAGGTTTAGTATTATTACATACAGCTGCTTAATATTATAATTTTCGTTAAATTATAAAAATGCTTGTAATGTTCTATTTCTCGAATCTGTCGTAACGTGTGTCTAATAATGTATAGATTATTATTATTGTTTCACTATTGTTCTAATATTATAGTACAGTTATAATACTAAGTATACAGCTGTACTAATATATGATACATATTACTTATATGAAATGTAAAAACGTAAAGAACCCCAATATGTTTTATAAAGAACTAAAAACACATAGACGAAAAGTAGAAGCTGCTAACTAAGAAACAAAAAAAAAATTAAAGTTGAAAGGATACAAAGTTTTCTAGCAATGTTAAAAACAAATTGTAAGACTGTGTGATACTCCAGAGTACACAAGTGTTAAACTGAAAGTAATAGTGTCAAGTACCCTGGTATAATGTGTTGTTTTTCGAATGGCGGTTTAGTTACATGTACCACTCATTGTTTCTGCAAATATTAACATTATATACACAGATACAAAAATATTATATAAACATACCTGCTAGCCCAGATTGATATCATACCAGGTAGCAAGGCTTGGTCGCGGGACAGTAGTAAGGGTAGCTAGGATCTCTTTCGTTGACCTTGATCCAATGACAAAGTTTTGGGTGTGGAGGGACCTTTCGGTTCCTTAAAATATAAATTAATGTCAACATAATAGCCTGGTGAAGTTCATATGTTGGAGACTCCACAAGCAGAACAGTTTCCTTCATAGACATAAAGTCAGCTATTTTTGACGCTTCTGGGTGCTCCTGTCATTGTCAGTCAATGTGTCTCCTTTGTGTACAGTAATATGGGTCGTTAAGTAATTAAAATGAGTGTGAGTGCAAGATTTATTTCCACTAAAAAAAGATAACTTCAAAGCAATACTATGAACATTCATTCATTTCAACTATAACTTCTGCTGAAATAATGTTAGGAAAATGTTCAGTAAAGTGTGTGGTTCTCAAAATACTAAAGTTTACATGTTTGTGAATGTAATCAATCGTAACCTACTAAAACACTGAGAGCACCAAGTTTATAGATAATTTCATCAACTCACAAATTTCCAGTTTGATCCAATAAAAATATTACTCACTACTGCTAGTGAAAAAAAAAGGGTCAAACTGTGTTATCTTCCTATTACCTATTACTTTTATTTCCTCCTTTAGAGCAATTGTATATAAGCCACTGAATAACAGGAAGCACACCAGAAAATGTTTGTGGAACAACAATCTGAATTATTCTGTCTCAACTGACTTTGAAGCAAAGAGTGAGACAAGACAGAAGTTAAACACGGGGAAGTAATCAGTATTTTAACTAAACAACCATTAGAGTTTTAAAACACGTTTATCATTTTGGCACCTTTAATGGAGAGCTATCAAATTAAGTATATTTGTCAAATCAATATCTTTCCATAATTATCTCTTGACGCTGCTGTTGTACTAGATTCTGAAAACAGTGCCGTGTACACAAATAACAACAATGTCATTCTTCACATTCTTACTACAAAGTAAGGGATAATATATATTTCAAGCATCACCTGACATGGCAGTGAAAAATATTACTGTGTATTCCTATACAGTATACTCAAGTTTATAGGACTTTTCTCATGAGAAAGTGCACATGACACTTTATATGAGTGACCCATTTCAGTAGGTAACGAGGGAGAGAGAGGAACTTAGTAGCTCCGTTGACTAACACTATATCAACATACATAAACAACATGTAGAGAAATTAAATATATATATATATATATATAGCAAATAAGGGGTAAGAAATATTTAGTATACTCGCATATCACAGTAAGATTATTATATTGTTACGTAGAAATTGAAAACTGAAGTAAATTTATATATCTGTATGCAACTATTATGTAAATCGAAGAAGCTGGATTTAACTCTCTCAGACCCAGGTGCATTGACTCAATGCGCTTTTTGTATATATTATAAACTATATTTTTAATATTGTAATTTAAATGTTGGCTAGAGAGAGTTGCAGTTTTAATGAAGACGTTCAAATCAAAAGGTTTAATAAGGTAAGCCTAGAACACCTAGGATGTTCTAAGGATATGATGTAAAGATCTCTTGTACATTCGATTTAAGGCTATATTATAAATATAGACAGTTGTGGTGTGTATAGAGTTGTTTTAAGGTAGAAAGTGAAATTTGTTAGTGTGGTTTCGTGAAGTATTTAGATGCGTGTTTGCTATCGTGCGTATTGAGTTAAGTTGTACAGGTGAGTTGATTTTTTATTTAATGTTATTTCTAAAATTGGTCTACAACAATATTATATGTGACAGTTTATAAATGTTCAAATCTGTAGAAACGTTAAAGGAGGAAATAAACTAGTTTGCAATCGTCACATGGACTGGACATTGAACTATTTTCTCTAGGTAATCTAAAAGAACCCACCAACATTTGATGCCAGGACTGAAACTATTTTGGTAAAAATATAATTGAGCTTTGACTAAACTTCAACTTTCATTGAAAAGGAACGTGATAGGAAATTAAAAGAAGACCGTAACAACAAAGGGACAAATGCTAAACATGATAAAACAATGGAAAGAAGAACAACCAAAACAAAGCAGAGCATTTATAGAAGACTAGAATGAATGGGATAGAAAAGTAGAGGAAACGACAGAAGAATGAAAGAGTTCAAGAAAAATTTGCAGAAAAATCAAATCAAGAAGCAAGAGATAAAAATTTGAAGTTTAGATATATCATCTAAATTAGATCTAAAAATAAAAATATATATATGATTGAAGATAAGTTTGATGAAACTATTGGAGATGTACAGGGAGTTTACAACAACAATTTGAAGAAGTAAGGCAGAAAAGGACATTAGTGACAGAACAAAACATCTTGGAAATGAATCAAGAAGTGTAAAGATTAAGCCAGCTTCACCTCATTGTGCATCAGCTCAAGAGTTCTAACCAAAACACCGTCCATTACCAGATATGAAGTAGAACTTATTGGGTCTAAACCTAATTACAATTAACTATGCTATCTGTTACAGAAGGACCTTTCTGGATTACTCCAGCCATGATACTAACAAATTTAGTTTCAGAATTTAGTTGGCCAGTTCAACATTGGCTACTTGAGAGACTAACAGACTATGATTGGGAGGTACCATGGTAGTCATACCAGGTTTAATTCAAAATGTCTAGAATGAGAAGATGCAATAGTGAACAACAAACTACTCATCTTGCACTCGTCTGAAAAAAGACATGCTTTAAGAACATTGAATAACCTTCCAGCTTAGAGCTGTAACAATTACCAAGCATTGTTAATCGCCTTACCTACGTGTGTATGTGTTTTTCATTGCAAAGCCACATTAGGCTATCTGTTGTGTCCACTGAAGGGAATCGAGCCCCTGATTTTAGCGTTATAAATCCGTAGACTTACTGCTGTCCCACCTATATGGATTAAAAAATTCTTTCAAAGGATACCAGAAAGAGGTAAATATATAGATGTGGTGAACCTGGCTATAAGAACTATAAGACTATAGGAAATCAACAGCTGTTATTAAACCAAAAGACTGAACCCAACCAGATTACAGGAACAATACACAGCTAACGAGACATCAAGAAATCGGGAATTAGTTGTATTTATGAACTGAAGTTTAGCTGGGCTACGGGACATCAAGACACCAGGAAGTAGTTGGATTTATGAGGAAACATCCAGCTAAGACTACTCCATCTGTCCAAAATGAGAACAGAAGTACATTATTTGAAGAAATCATTCAGGAGTCCATAGGTTTATCGATGGAAAACCTTGTAGTATGCTTATTGATACTAGTTCCACAGTTATAATTGTGCAACCCAATTTGTTAATGAAAAGTGAAAACTTGCCTCCAGGAATGAAGAAAGAAGAGGGTACATGTGAACAGCAAGTTGACATATAGTTTTAGCAAAAGAAAAGTTGGAAGTTACCCTTACCATAGGAATCTTCTCTATACTTCATGATGTGTGGGTAAGTGACGTCTAGAATTTAGATATTTACATCAGGAGTTAATAGCAATGCTTCTTTATCTAGTGACTGAAGAATAGTGGAACCAAATGCTACATGAGGGAGAGATTGATGATAGAAACAGCTCTCCTGGGTGTGAAGAATAAAGATGTTGTACATGAATTTACCAAGGAAAGACTTAAATTGGCTTGGGATAAAGCAGAAGGTAGCTATAATGTAAATATTGCTAAAACTGGATTCGACCAAGGTGACATAGAAGTACATGTTTGGAGGAGAGGTGATCCAAACAAAGGGTCATCTACCATAACAATTTTTGGGAGTGCATCAGTGAGAGAATGTTCAACTGGGTAATTCTAGAGAGAAACTCGTCAGCAGAACTTCAACTTGCAGAGGTGCCCAGAGTACCTGATAACACTGCTTCTAGATGATCATCAAGTTTGGAGCCAGCAGTATACTCACCCAACCATCTACTTAGGAAGAACTTCCTTAGCGACAGGAAAGCCAGTGATAACAAGGGACAAGTCACATTCTCAGAAAAAAACCATCAAAAAGTTTAGTGTTGTATTAGAATTGTTCAAGGAACATCAAAATCGAGGAAGGAGGCACAGCTTTAAGCTATATTTATAAAGCTCTAATTGAAATGTTAGCTAGAAGGAGCTG